ACGTTTGGTCAGTCTGGTGTTTCGGAAGCAAAGTGCTGGAGTGGCGAGCGAGATGTCTTGAGTTCGGTTTGGGGAGTGTTCCGAGCTGCCATGGGCCAGCTCGGGTCACGGCTTTGTGAGGCTTAGGGCCCGAGATAGTTCGGGCTCCTTGCAGGGAGTTCGGGTTCTTAGTAGGGAGCTCGGGTTCTCGGTAGGGAGCTCGGGCTCCCAGTAGGGAATCCGGTCTGGTGGAGTTCGGGCTCAGTAGTGAGCTTGGACTTTCGGTGCTTATTTTGGGCGCTCTGCTGCCCCGAGTTGCTTGCTTTCGCCACGTGTCGGGTGATTGCGAGGTCGGGCCAAATTTCCCTTCATCAAATTGGTTGGTTCATTTTCATGTTGGTTTAATATAATTATTGTGCAAAACTTACCTATTTGTCCATATTTAAATTCAAATTTGATCCCTTGTAATACCAGCATTGTCTTAAGTAGTCACATGTTCAAGTTTCCAACAAGTTATTTTCAGTTCTTCTTTTCAAGATATGTAATGTTAAAATTAATTTTAGTTTATTTTTTTAATAGTATATAAAATTTCTATCATTTTGAGTTATATTTGTCAATGGCATTCAATATCAAATTGCAATCTGAATTCATTTAAAATATATGGACAACAAGTGATTCAAATTTGAATATAAATGGATTAAATTTAGATAATACCAACATCCATTTTGATTTGATCTATTTGCAATCCTAATCTTAACTTTACACTTGATCTATTTGCAATCCTAATCCTAATCTTCACTGAGGTGGGTAAATAACTATTTCACTTGAGCGAAAAGTTGCCAACATTTTGATTGGACAAAATTGCCCTATGTAGGGCACATATGTGAATTCAGTAGTTTGATCTTCATTCTATGACTTGATTCATATTACTACCGAGTCAACTTAAGGATCTAAGTCTAAGTTTGAGGGTACTTAAAAGTAAGTGCTTATTATCATAACCACACCAATAAGCGTTGGGAAATAAGTGCTTTCTCACCAAATGTTCATGCTTATTAGAATAAGCTATTGTATTTAAGCACTTATTCAATAAACAATTTTTTTTTTTCAAATAAGCACTCTCAAAATTGCCTAAATCCTAACCAACTTGGGAATGTTCTAGAAAGTAGAAACTCTTCTTCCAAGCACGCATGAACTCACATGCATAGTTCCCCTGTATGTAAATAGGGTGGTCCTTTAGCGGGGACTTCTAAAACCATTTCTTCCACAATCCTTACCATCTTCCCTAATTGAGACCTTGTCCTTCTGAAACCTAGCGGCTGTTTGACATTGTTGCCGTTTCATGGAGCAATGGCGCCACATCAGCGCCATGTAGGAAAAAATGGTATTCCAGGAAACAACCTTTTGTTTGGAACCATTTTTTCATAGAAAATTGTGTTATAAGCGATGCCTTGAAAATCGGAAAAACATGGCTTGGAGCAATACCAATTTTGATGTTTCCTGGAGCTGCAGCTCGTTGTTGTCAACATAGCAGTGATGTGACACTGAATAATGGATAGAAGTGCATAAAACGTTTCCTGGAGCATTGGTACCAAACAGAAAAAGTTGTTACTCCAAAAAATTTTCTACCTGACAGCAACGATTCCAAACAGAAAAAAAGGCACCATTTTCTGAAAATATGTCACCGCCTCATAATAGTAGAAGATCGTCTTTTGCTGCTTATGATAATGTAGAGGAGGCTAATTTGAAACCTAAACCCTAAGTTTTAAAGTATGGTTGCTTTACAAATTTACCCTTAAAGATGGACATAGAAAATTAAAAATAGAGCGAAAAAGATTTAATTAAACAATTGAGTGAAACTAAAAAAGTAATAAGTAAATAAAACATAATTAATTAATAAAAATTAAATAAATATAGTTTATCTAGAATAAATATTTAATATTAAATAAAGTACTAATTATTTACTTAAAATTAATAAACTAATAAACAATTAATTGAAAAATCAATGAATAAAATGCCAATTTAACTAAAAAATGTGTAATTAGTCAATAGTTAAATATTCGATGATTAATTAATAGTAAGAATATACATAAATTTAAAAAATATAAAATACAAATATTTAATAAATCCTACTCTTAAATTTATCCATAAATCCCAATAAAAAATGTTCATATAAAACTATATACATAAATTCTCTCAAACCCGACCAACCCGCCAAAATCCAACTAACTCTGCCCAAAAATAAAGCAATTGCAAGTTTGCTTTAAGGTTGGGCCTGAGGCTCGAACCAAAGATCGCACCTTTAAGGTTGGTCCGGGTTTACCTTCAACCGGATCCAACCCGCCCAAAAATAAAGCAATTGCAAGTTTGCAACTGCCCCAATAAAATGCTTGCTGTTTCCACTAGCACAGTTCCCTAAGACAAAAGGCAAAGCTCCCGCATGGACAGCTTTATTTTCCCAAAATACCCATCCTTATCCCAATATCTTCCCAAAATTCTCCCCTCGATGCAAGTTTTGACCCCTTGCCAAATTAAGCTCGTTTCCAAATTAAGACTGACATGGCCGTTGAAAGTGTAGACTGACCAAACAAGCCTGCAACATTTTCATAATATAAGCATAAGCTGACGACGGGTTTGCAGCATCTAGACATGACGCCGGAGGCTGGTAACAAAGAATTTATTGAATCATTTTAGGGGTGAGGAACTGAGGTGTAGATGCTATGATGACAAGGGTATTTTAGTCTAATAAATTTCGAATAAATAAAATAGCAAATGTCCTGCACTCTGCCCGATACTCATTGTCTGTATACATCCCAGAAACTGTTGATCTGCCGCTCTGTTGCTCTCCAAGTCTCCATCCCTCCTCACCCAAGTTTGACCAAACTCCATTTACAGCAAGAGTGCGTCTAGTCGGCCCAGCACCAGGCCATTAGCAGAGGTTTAGGGAACAACGACGGCAATATTTTAGAGCTCTCTAGCAAAGCAAGTAGGAAAAGATAGTGGCGACTGGCGAGGCAGGTTATAGAGGATAACAGAGAAAGGGACGAAGGACTCACCTACGCTCTATTACAAGGGGGAAGTATCATCACTATGAATAAAGATATTTGTTTGTTTATAGAGTTTCAGGGGCAAAAATAGAAGTTTTGCAGTAAAAGAAGAAGAAGAAGATGCTAATGGTGATGACGACAAATCCAGTTGTTAATGAGGTTTCAGAGACACAACAAGCAATTTTTCCTCCGATCAAATCAGAACGAAGAACGCCTCGGAAGGGACTGTAGAGGAAAAGAAACGTTTCTGTTCCACTTCGAAGGAAAAAGAAAAACGACAAGAATAGTAAACCGAGGAATTTTGACTGGAACTTTAGCAACAACTGTAGAGCATTTTTTTTTTTTTTTGGTTTGAAGAAGAAGAAGAAGAAGAAGATGGGTTGCTGTTATTCAAGAGTGGAGAAAGAAGAGATGGTTTCGCGTTGCAAGGCTCGACAGAGGTACATGAAGCAGTTTGTAATGGCCAGACAAGCCTTCTCTGCAGCACATGCCATGTATCTTCGCTCTCTTCGAGGTACTGGTTCTGCTCTGCTGCAGTTCGCTAACGCTGAAACCAGTCTCCACCGTCACCACGATCCCCAACACCACCTGCCCCCTGTTCTCCCTTCCCCGCCACTTCCGCCGCCGACTCCGCCACCCCCTCCACCAGTACCTATGAGCCCAAGTTCCGATAACTGGACTTCTGTCACTGCCTCGCCGGCTCTACCTCCTCCTCCACCGCCACCTTCAAGCTGGGATTTCTGGGATCCATTTGTCCCCGCTTCGTCAAGGTCTGTCACTGAAGAGGAATGGGAAGCCACCACAACCGCTTCGGAGGTCGCTGCTACCACTACCGCTGGAGCCAGTGTGGCTGCTCCCCCTTCTGTCGTCAGTGCGTATTCAAAAGATACCACAAGCGAGCTTGCTGTGGTGGTTTCAAGGAACAGTAAAGATCTTGTTGAGATTATTAAAGAGCTTGATGAATATTTCCTCAAGGCAGCCGACGCTGGAGGCCGTGTCTCATTGCTCTTACAAGTATCAAATTTTAGTTTTTCTACGCAGAAAACAACAGGTACGTCGCCTCTTGTGATCTGGGTATTTGATTTTTCTCCAATTTCTGTGCTATCTATTAGCTTACTAAATTCCTTAATCTCTACTGGTACGTTTCCAGGGAAGGTTTACAACTACGGAAGGAGTCTGAATCCATTGCCATGGACATGGGGCTTGAATTCGAAATCGAGCAGTTATGGTAGGATGGTTGAGGAAAAAATTGGAGTTGATATTGGTTGTGGAGGTGTTCCCCATTTCAGCCATTCTTCCACCGTAGAAAGGATCTACGCTTGGGAGAAGAAACTGTACCAGGAGGTCAAGGTACTGATCGTATATCATCATCTCTTTTATCTAAGATATTTTTCTGTTTCTTTCGTCTGTTGAACATAGACTACCTCTCTCTTCATGTTGTTTCTTCCTGAGCTTCTCAATTGTCCTTTTGGGAAAATCGCAAAGGCAAAGTTTCCCATGAAAAAACAACAAGACGAGCTCCTCACTTGCACAAGCATTCATTTCTTTCCTTTTTCTCTGTTCTGTTCTGGGCTCGGAAATGACCTGAACATTTTGTCTTTGGAATAAAGATGGTGAATGCACATTGCCTTTCAATGCATAAACATGTTTTTATCTGTTTATATATTCTTTTTCCATCATAGAATGCTGAGACTCTGAAGATTGAGCATAAGAAGAGGGTGACCCAACTTAGGAAGCAAGAGGTGAAAGGGACTGATTATGTGAAGATTGACAAGTGCAAGAAAGAGATTGAAAAGTTGGAGTCAAGAATGGCTGTGGCTTCTCAGGCTATAGAAACTACTTCTGCTGAAATCGTCAGACTCAGGGAGACAGAACTCTACCCGCAGCTCCTTGAACTTGTGAAAGGGTCAGTCTTTTTAACTTTCTTTCCTCTTGGTTTGGTTGTGATAACCTAAATTGGATTTTCATCTCCTTTATGGGATTAAAAACAAACAGCGAAGAAAAGAGAATTAAGTCTTAATCGAAATGATTTGAATATAGAGAACTAAATTCTTATTGATAATTTAACCGCCAGGATACACAGTTAAAAGATGACATGAACAAGCATACAAACATGAAATAATTCAAGAACCAGGTACAAAGAGAGGTGTTTATTAAACAGCTGGTGAAATAAGTAATTTAGATTTTAGATGCCATTGAACCTTGTTGATGAAATCAAATAAATTGAAATACATTTTCCTTGCAATGTTCTATAGCAATTTATTCCCGATATTCTTTTTCTTGTTTCCATCAAGGGCCAAAGAAATCATAATAATCCTTCTTATCATCTGAAAAGAATCAATGTTTAGAATGACATCCATGGTATGGTATCTTCTATTGTTCCCTGGCAACCTCATATATTGGTCTATCATTTATGAGCACCTGTAATTTTCCTCACAAGCATGATGCCCATAGGCCATCATCTAATATTCTAATTTATGATCTAATTTCATGAAATTGCAGATTGATGTGCATGTGGAGAAGCATGTATCAGTGTCACCAGGTGCAAACTCACATAGTTGAACAGCTGAAATTCCTGAATATCAATATTGCAACTAAAGATGCCACCTCTGAAATTCATCGGCAATCAACTCTCCAGCTGGAGCTCGAGGTCCAGCAATGGCACTTAGCCTTCTGCAACCTTGTCCAAACCCAAAGAGACTATATCCATTCCCTCACAGGATGGCTCCGGGTCAGCCTCTTCCAATTCAACGATGACTTTCTAACCAAAACCAAACAGAAGTCGGCAATATACTCTTTCTGTGAAGAATGGCAGCTTGCACTGGATAGGGTTCCAGACAAAGTGGCATCAGAAGGGATAAAAAGCCTCTTAACAGTAATTCACGCAGTTGTAGTTCAGCAGGCAGAAGAGCAGAAGCAAAAGAAAAAGTCCGAGGCTGCATTTAAAGAGCTTGAAAAGAAGGTAGTTGAACTTAGATCTTTAGAGTGCAAGTATGGCCCGTTTTCAATGCCCAAAACATCTGTGCGACATAGAGACCCAGTTGCAGAGAAGCGAGCAAAGGTGGAGATTCTGAGATTAAAAGCTGAAGAGGAGAAGACAAAGCATGAGAAATTGGTGAGCGTGATGAGAGCAACAACACTGAACAACCTGCAGATGGGATTTCCAAACGTCTTTCAGGCGATGACAGGCTTTTCCAATGTGTGTATGCAAGCCTTTGAATCAGTGTCCAATCGACCCAAGAACGATGATAAGGGCAATGAAGTGAAGAGAATATTACCTTAAGAAGTTGAATTAAACGCATTTGTTATCTTTCGTATATATTTGCAGCCCATTTTGAAAAAATAGGGGCATTTCCTTGAAAGGTGGTGACAAGCTAATCTGGTTGGAAGCCCTGAGTGAAGAAGATATGAGAATTCGATGGATGGGTTTGGATTACCCTGGTACAGGATAGAAAGTTATTGGGAATTTACCATGTAAGGAAGGAATTGGAGTGTATGTTTGGGTTTATAATTTACTATTTGCTTTTCTTATGTAACAGTGGGTCACTGGGGTGTTTTCTCGTCTCTTTTCAAGAAAAAAATTTCAAGAGGCTTTTCTCAATTGGATCTGTCTCTAACTCTCTATTTTTATGGACTTGTGGTGATGTGAGATATAACTCCCATGATCTCATTGCTAAGCCGAAAGTCTTCTACGGCCAAGGCTCGCCAGTGGAGCGTCTGCTGAGTGCTGATGGATCGATCTCACCCCAAAATTCCATAGCTATTCTACTGGTAAACTATAGGCAGTAGGCCTGATTTGTATAAAAGTTTATAACTAGGCTGGCTGCTCGGAACTCAGGATTTCCTTGGCCTTGGAGTTTAGTCTCATTCGTTTTTTGGGAAGTTACTGAATCAGGGTAAGTGTTTCCTGAAATATTTATACCGGTAAATGCACTAATGTTCTTTTACTTCTCAAGTAAATAAGATAATAACCGTTTTAGTCAAAAAATCATTATTAAAAGAGGCAATTTTGGCCCATCAAAATGTTGGCAACTCCCCCCTCCCCTAGAAAAGATTAAAAGTTAAAATTTCCATGGACCCCATATTAATCTGAAAAAAAGAACATGGATATATCTTGGCCAATGGGAACTTATATAGGAGATGGGATAAGTGATCAAGAAAAATAAATTTTTAATAGACAACATATAAATCTGAAATAAAAAGAACATGGATATACCTTGGTCAATGGGAACCAAAATCCCATTGAACCCATTGACTGAATGGGCCCTTGATATTACTTTGCTTGTTGGATCCTTTCACGAGTTCAACTTTCAATTTGAATTCCCATCTCTTCCTATTTGAAATGAAAGGCTCTTTCAAGTTTCAAGTCCTTGTTTCTACATTTTCTCTTCCCTACCAAGCAGTGGCCTTACAGTTACAGCCAAGAATAATAGGTTGGGCATTGCAACTAGTGTAGTGGGATATGTTTTTTCTATAAAATTAGGCCCACTTCAATGAATGGGCATCCGTTTAAGTACTACTGGTATGAACTGAACCTGTTCGCAAATCACGACACGAAGTAAAAAAAAAAAACACAAATTAGAAAGAGATTTTCCTGGTCGACCTTGTATGCCGGCAGTTGGCAGTTGAGATGGAAATCCACGGGTCCTGACTTGTGCGTGTTCATCATCTCATGACAGTACTTAGCCACATGAAAAACCACATCCCGGTATCGTATTCATTCCAATATTCCACAACAGAATTTCAAGAGCTGTTTTTCGTGGGGAAACTCCGATTTGCACCATCTAACCCCTTGGACTTGGATGTGTCAGTTATAGATAACTTCTGTCATGTAGAGAAAAAAGCTGCTATACTAAACAAATAAGACGGCTCAAACAGGTATTAAGCCTAGTGGGCGGTACATTACATACAATGGTGTAGAATTACAAGGCGTATTGAATTCCTCGTTCCATAGAACTGGAAGGAATGCTGCAGCACTTGCCCTTCAACCATATCAATCTCTTCTCACTTTTAAGAGAGATGAATGTTTCCCTTGCACTGGGGCTGTCGAACAGGTCTAAAGCAGCAAAGTAGATGTGGTCATCAACTCCTTGCATCTCATCCAATGCTTTGATGCAATTGCTTATAGAAAATTGCTCGTTAATCTGTGCTGCAGCTGCTGTCCTCAACTTTGATGCAGCTGCCATCTCTAATATCGCTTCTGACATAACATCATCAATTCCTTTACGGCTTCTTTTGCGACGACCAGTACTAGGTGGTGTCGCTGATCGACCTTTGTTCCGTCCATTTGACATGTCAATGTCCTCTTCTGAGTGTGATGAAGAATCCTCTGGTGCAAATGATGCTGCTCCAGGATCAACAGACATGCTTGCAGCCTCTGGTCCTCGCACCAACCTAGGAGTACCATCATCCAACTCGACCTGATGGATTGACTGATCATATCCCCCATTGGCCCCAGATTCTGAGAATATTATGCAAAGCTGTTTGTAAATTGGACAACCATTGTTTCTAACTGTCTCAGCATCTGGGTGTGCCTGCAAGTATGATTTGTAAGAAATTCAACAATAGTTATAAAAACTGAAATGATCTTTAGATAAAAGGGACATAGCTTACCTTTATGTATTTATCCCACACTTCATCCTTTGCTATTACTGCACATCGGGATTCATCCCAACTAAAGCCACTTTGATCAAGAAGTGATTTGACAGTAACATACTGTCTCCTCAAAACACCATAACGGTTCTTCAATTGCTCCTTATCCCATTTCAATCCCGTTTTTTTATGGAAGTCATCACATATACATTTCCATGCTTTTTTTCCAAACGAATTATTTGGTCTATTCCCCTTTAGAACCTGCTCGACCATTAAGTCAGCAAGTATCTTGGTAAGGGAAACTGTCCATTTAGCCCTTGACTGATCGTGCTTAGATTGTTGTTTACTGGACCGACCAGCCATCAACAATAATATATGACTTGTGAATCTACAATTAAGAAAGATTTTTGTGAGACAGATCTTATTATTACTGTTTTTTATCAGTAACAAAAAACGAGGAAGGTGTTATATAAAACACATGCATAACAAACGAAACCAAACATATTTCAAGTAAACGCCATCATGTTCACACCAAATCAACAAAACATGTAGGTAGCAAACCAACCCATGCGCTGCATACTGAATTCCATAAATAACATTTGAACAGAAAGGAACAGAGAAAATCTTAAGGAAAAGAATGGAGGGAGGACATAAGATCCATTACTAAAGCAATAGTTTCTTGCACGGCAGATATCCACAAACAAAATAAAACACAAAAAAGCCAAAAATCGTTCTCCAACTGTTAAAGAATATCTGTCATTCCTCATGGACCAAGAAGCTTTTTTTTTTCAAGTCTTGGGCTCCAAATTTGAAACATTTAAACATTCCTCTTCCCCAACAAAACACACACACACACAGGTGAAGAGAAGAAATATGAGAAGGGATAATATTAAAAGATACACAGAAAGATTTCCAATAACTCTCTCTCTCCAAGCAACGAACGCCCAACTCCAACTGCTTCAACTAAGTCACCCAGAAGAAAGCAGTGAAAGACCTTAAAAGACTATCATTCCAAATCCTCTCCCATGTTGCTATCATGGAACATACCATCAAGAGGGAAGCAGTATCTGACCTGGTCCGCTGCCTGTCTCCCAAACCAATTCTCTATTGTCTCATATTTCCTATATCATTGCACACATTTTTAAGGAGATTCAAAGGTTCAGGCATTCGGACTCTTGCCACAATGCCATCAGGGTTATATTGTCGCAATACCTTTGATGCAATGGTAATGATTGAAGTCTTTGGTGGGCTAACAATTGATTTCAAGTGGGTATATTTACCAATACAAGTTTGGATAGCATTCGGTTTGTTTTAGTCTGTCAAGAATCCCCTCTTCAGACCTTGGAGACTTCTACCGATATTATTGACAGTCTCTCTTTCTTCTCAATTACTATTAACTGCCAATAGCAGTCACAGTTATCAGAAGATAATAGGCAAACATTAGATAGAGTCCCAAAATTTAGAGAAGGTCAGACCCATGGAGATAGAAGGAAGGGAAAGGTAGGAGGAAACAAGCTGAAACAAGACAAGGCATAGCCTAATACCGGTACATGGCCAGTATACCAGTGTCCACAGGATACAGTATGTATATGAGTAGGAGTAGGCACATGGCCCAGGTATTCCAACATGCATTTTGAATATAATCTCATTGACCAACATATATTGCAGAGTTCAAAGCATATAATAAATAAAAATAAGGAAGATATGAAGTAATAAGCTGACAACTATGTAATTATGTATTATGAAGTAGAGTAATAGCTTGTTAGTAGAGACAACAATCAATAAGAAAAATAAGGGGTTAGTGATTTCAATTGTATTTTAGAAAATGGATACAACTCCGACACCCATTCCTTCATCTGTGCCTAGTCTTTTCACAAATGCCAGGTTATTTCCCTGTTTCCCTTACTGTATCGGTGTCCTTATCAAAACCTGGGCATCATAGGGTGCAACAGAAAAGTTTTTCAAAGTAGTCAACTTGACCAATGAACTGTTGAAAAAGTGGCTGATACAAGATATTGCCATTCCTATAAATCATAAGGATGACAGTGGTTTCTTTTCTCAAGACTTAGCTCCAAAAGGAGAAAAAAAAGGCAGCGGCACATTTTAATTTTGTTTTATGTTGGTTCTCTGGCACTCTGCAAATGGTCCCTAAAAGAAATTCAATGGAGAGCCAATTTCTCCATTAACGGAAAGATGGAAAGAGAAGTCCTTCAGAGATCAAAACCACCCTTCTACAGTCATCTTTCTGAGAAAAAAAAAAAAAACTCAAATTTAGACCTGAATAGCTGGACACAGTTTCAGTGTTTCTACTATCAACGAGTGTTTGGAAATCCGTGTGCCGTTTCTAGCCAGAGACAAACCCCACAGGGCCATTAAAGTGAATATTGGGTTCTTATGAGTTTAAGCGCCTCTCTCCTACCATCGCATCCCCTTCTGACTCCATGCAGCACAGCTTGACATTTCATGCCAAAGACTCCCTTCGAGGTTTCAACTTTCAACCATTGAAAACCTACGAACAATTGTTAGACTTCTCTAGAACAAAGGTCCACTCTTCATCAGATATACATTTCAAGAAGAAGTTTCAAAACTTTATGCAAAGCAAAAGAGTTTCGTATGGCAACATTCGATGCTAACTTGTTCGCTGCACACACGATCAGTGACTGAAGCCCTAGTGTTCTAAAGGATGTCATCAACATAAACGGTTACGACATTGAAATTCAGGTTAAAAAAAAGAAGTAAACAATAAAACCAATAATGTGATCAAAAAACCCTAAAATTCTTAAACCCAAGCTAAACATCATGGAGTACACATAGAAACAAAAACAAAAAGAAAACAAATATAAATAAAATACAGGAGCAGAACAGAAAGAGAGAAAGTGACAAGAAATCCGTACTCGAATCGTCGATCGATCGCGGGAGGGAGTGGAGGTTTTAGCTGTAGACACCAATATAAAGTTTTGAGATTAGCGCAATGGAAAAAAAAAAAAAAGAAGAAATAATAAAAAAAGAAAATAAATAAAGGAGAATATTACTGCTACAGGCACCTCTAAACTTTTTCAGTTTGGCACTTCGTAATTTTACTTTTACAAATTTATAAAAATTAAAAAGAGCGTTAAACTGTTGTTCGATATTTCATGTTACCACCTAGCAGCCAAAACTTTGGCTGTCAACAGGTCTCTTTTTGCGTGTACGTTACACATTTTGTTGAAGTCTTAACGTGTCAAACGACGAGAGTACTTTTGAGAGCGCAGGCTATCGAGCTTTGACAGCCAATTTTTTCTTTATAGTCGCATGCTTACGAAGGTAATTTTCGTTGATTTTGTTGTAATTTATATAATTATTTAATAGGTATTTTTAAATTTCAATAATAATAATACAAAATTATAAAACAGTGCTGTATAGTCTATAATGTTTTCCGCAAGTTTATTATAATCATGTCCATAACGTCAGACCTGATTGTCCCGACTCCTAAGAACTAATTGATTTGGTTTCAGGGCTAAAATTAAAGGGATTATAAGATATAAGGGCAACTTTTTGGTCCTAATATCAATAAAAGTAATAATTTTAATAAAATTTTAAAAATAGGTTAATTTTTTAAAAATAATATCAAATAAGGGCAAAATTACTGTTCATCTTCTTCCTCTTGTAGATCATTCATCAGTGTTACCGCCAATGCCTCCACCACCTCCATTCCACCTCTGGAGGTGGGCGGAGGCAGAGGTGACAACTGCGTTGGTCTACCATCCACCAATGCTGCCATCAAGTAGATGTGGTGGCGTTGGGCAGAGGTAGAGGCGGAGGTGGGTGGAGGCGTTGCCAGAGGTGGGCAGAGGTGACGGAGGTAGGCGGAGGCAGTGGCGCTAATAAATGATCTGTAAAAGGAAGAAGATGAATAGTGTTTTTACCCTTATTTAATATTATTTTAAAAAGTTAATATATTTTTGAAATTTTATTAAAAATATTAATTTTATTGATATTAGGGCCCAAAAGTTGACCTTATCTACTATAATCCTAAAATTAAAAACCCTATAAGGTCTAGTTTGGTTCTAGTTTCTTAATATTTCTTGTCGAATCAATTTTAGTTCTATCCAAACCCAATTCATTGACAGGCCTACTTTAAACTTAATCCCCTACCCACAAACCATTGAGTCACTTAAGTGATTTGACCATTTATTTTTATTTTAATATTTGGATGTTTATAATAAGTAAGGTAAAGAATAATAACTACAAAATTTACCCAAAGCCTGAATCAACCTTCATAGGGCAGGTTTTGGTTATAAAAACACAGAATCTATTAGACAGTCTTTGTATGCCCTTAGCTCCAATCATAATGATGTACTTTTAACATTTATTGTAAATGAATAAAGTGCATATTTGATTCATGTTATTGTGGTTTGTTTCTGTGTTATACCCTTAAACTGAACACTTAATGAGACTCGTGTTAGTTTAGAATGTTCACAGCCGGTGGGTCGGTCTGGGGAGACCTATCCTGATAAGGCTGACACTGATGTGCCACCAAGTCGGTTGGGGTGGCCTGTCTCAGCCGCTAGAGTGAGACCCAAGGCACATGTAGTGTAGGATTAATTGAATCTTTGAACCGGACCAGATTTCCAGTATTGCCCTAGACCTTGT